GTTCTAACCTACGTCGTCCACATCGGACGACTCGGGAACTCAACTCCTACCCCGGGCAGCTCACCGATCCCCTTATGCCCGGGGGAAGGGTATCAAGCCGTTTGACAGCTGATGCTCGCTGTCAAAACGGCTTTTACGCGAAAACAGGCGGGAGGCAGCTACAGCTGCGTCCGACGAGGTCGCCTGCTCACCGGAAGTCGGGGTTCCATCTTTCACCACTGGAAACAGTTTTGACCAATATTCTGAATGTCTAGGATAAGTGATAATTTATAATCCACCTCCATATTATTGGGAATGGTGCACTGCTGAGCTCTTTCAAGCTAGGGATAGTAAGCTTTTAACCCAAGAGTGAGACAGAACATTTATGAAAAGGTACTTCATGGAGATGTGAGGTGTTGCAAGAGGTGAGGTGTTCCTTTGCCAGAGGAAGGAAGGAAACATCAAAGGCTACCAAAGAGTGAGGAAAATATAAGATATTTGCATTAACCAACCTCTCTATTTCCACAGATTTTCTACCAAGAAAACACTAGGAAATTACTCATCCATACCAGCACTTTGCATCAGATCCTGGAGAATTCCACTTCCCTCCTTGCAATGTTTTGGAGAGCATCATCTCCCATGCCTCTCAGCTCAGCTCAAATAAGGCAACCCACAAAGGGAAGTATCTTGCTATTACTGTAGAGCAGTTTCTCCCCACTGGAAAATTTGAGGTGACAATTTGATTGGCCTGGGTAATAGCTGAAAATCCATCTCAATATTGTAGAATTCTAAAAACCTTTTCCAGTCCAGTTTAAATAGTGTTGGTTGGGTTTTCTCTCTATGCCAGTATATTGCAAAATTCCCCCCATATCATGTTAGGGTGTTTGGAAGCCAACCATTTTTCCAGCCTGTGACCTTAGTACTAATCCTAGAGCTGTGTCCTTTGATAAGAACATGCCTCCTCACCTCTATACTCTTCAAGATGTTTTATCTTCCCTTCCCTCTTTTGCTTGGAATTCTCTTTAGCTTTTTAGACAACTCAGGATGATTTCCAAGTGCCTCTTATTTGCATCATAAAGTTTACTAGGGTGAATTATTAAGGGAATATTAGGGGGGAAATTATTAGGGGAATATAAAGGGGACAAGGAAGCAACATTGTTAAGTTGATACCACTTCCCCTATTCTTCAACGTGTGGCAGAGATGGCCCTATTTGCCCAATCCATTGCAGTTGACCAGACATTCCACATTGCTCCATCTAGAATTTCTGGTGATCATTCTGAACAGTTTAGAATTGCTGGGGCTGGGAAGCTCTTCTGTGCTATTGTTGACAAATTCTGTAACAAAAATAGGGAGTAGTGTGGCAGATAGATGGATGAGGAAATAAGAAAGGGGGGGTACAGACAGTAAGACAAGAATATGTTAAAATGGGGGTATTGATGGAGCTGCAAATACCAGTGGGACTAGCATCTAGAGATATAGCTTGGCAATCACAAAACTGAGAAATTAAAATAGGGAGCTAAAAGAACAGAGAATAGATAGCTCTATAAATTTGGCTCTAGATATGCTCATCCTTAATTTCCCATTACCACCATAAATATACTTTTACATTGGCTCAGTGACTTCTACATAGCTTCCAAATACAATACTTTAGAAGACTGGGAAGAATTTTAAAATATATTCGCTTCACATACGAAATGTTCAGTCCGTCTAATCTTCCACAGCACTCTACACCTCTAGGTTACTTGATAAACTATAAGCTTCCTTTTTTAAATAATATGTATTTATTATAGTCATCCTAAGAAATAAAATACTTGTTTTCACAGGATCAGACAATAGCTGAAGAAATCCAAATACTCAGAGCCAAATTGGCTGAGCAAGAGGATCATGTGCAGAGTGCTAATCATATCAAAGGAAGTGTGGAGAACTTCATTCTCACTCACTGTAAGTGTCCTGTTTCATGGAATGGATTGGATAGGACCACGTTTCTGTTTCTGATAGTCAAGCATTAATGAGTCTGTCTGTGTGTCACAGTCTCTCCCCACTACATTTTATTCTCTACATCTCAATCCATTCTTGATGGAGTTTGAGGCAAGGAAACTGTAGAAGAGGGGGAGATGTGACATATTTATCTTGCAAGTTTACAGTAGTTACTCCTGCAGGATCATGGGAATTTTGTGTTAGAAGGAGTGGTGTCCTCCTAGAATTTTCTACTGTCAAATGCCCAACAAGCTTTGAAAATCTTTTCCACATGTCACTGAACTACAAATACCTGTCTCAATGTGTTCCTTGATGAAAAGGAAGAAAGTTAAATTTGCTAATGAAAGTTACAGTTATAAATTAGACAAAAAGGCTAAAGAATCCTTACGGAACCCTCTTTCCAAAATGACAATGGCTAAGTTTTTTGGAGACAAAATTATTCCTCTTCACTTGCTAAGTCAATATATCAGAAAAGAACATTTCACAAAGGACTTGCCAAGATAGGCAATTAACACAGAGATAAGCTGGGGACAACGAAGCTAATTCAAATTATGATTGACACTTTCTTTTGTACAGTGACTGGAACATACAATGTGCTGAAGAAAGCAAGAATCAACCTGGAGGTATGTTCACTTTCATCTCTCCTTCATAAGATGCTGTTATTCCAAGACTGAGGATAGAAAGAAGGAAAGCTATTAGTTTCCTGGTCCAGGAAGAGGGAGCCTCTAAGTAATGGAGCAAATTCTCCCACTAATATTCATTGCCTGGCCAACAAAGTCTTAAGGCACATATGAATAATAGATAATCAGTTTTGTGCTTCCCGTTCTTGTTTTTTACCTAGCTTTTTTACTTGTTTCTAACAAGATAATATGGGATTTTACAATCCTAAAGTTGAACTTAATATGCTAATATTGACTTCAAGGTGAATTTCTTCAGCAATTGACTCAGTTATACAAATGCCTCAGTCTTGACACGATAAATAGGCATCCTGCTCTTCTGTTCATAGGGCCATCTTTTGGTCTATATTTTTGTGGCCAGAGCATTAAATTATAACTAAGGGTATTAGCATGTGTTAAAATAACTGCTGTGAATGCTTCAGGGTGGGATGAGATGTATTAGAAGACAAAGCCTAATAGAAATGCTAGCATCTTTCCTTTACATCATTTAATTACAGGGGATGTCCCAGCAGCCTAAATCCATTTCTTTCATTGGCCAGTGAAGAAACGGGTTCATCCACACGGTCAGAAATATGGAGAAAGAAAAATAGATTCAACATTCACTCCTAACCCATCTAGGCTTTTTCAAATCATCTCTTCATATGCTCTGCTCCTAGACTCAGTGGGAAATTTATTTGGAAATGCTCCAGACATTAGTGCAATGCAATACCTGGACAAAAGTTATGTATATCAGGTGTACAAATACCAATAGAGACTAGACTGTAGTCAAAATGCTATTGCAAGAGAAAAGGAGACTGTAAGAATGACATCTCAGATGTGTCCTAGTCTTAGTGTTTGATTCTTTGGAGTATGGTGCAAGAATGTGCATGCTATTAGGATTAGGAAATTGATACATCATGCATTATCATTATTATTATAGTTGGTTATACAGTCAGCCAGATGTTTAGATTGGATTTGGCATTTTCCTCCAACTATCAAGTCCTTCCCAAGGACAAGGAAAGCAGATGTAATTGTTTCATATTGTTAAATATCATTGCAGGATGAAAGCTCTTCCCAGCTCTTTTGCAACTGAGTAATGGTGACTTTGTCAGTGTTGATGCTGCAGGTGTTTCAAATTGAACCCAATTATTGTAACAACCTTGCTCTTGACAACGGTGACCTTGACAGTAAGACCTGACAATAAAATCCACCTATTTGATGTTTTTATATATATGAATTCCCATATTTTAAAAAAAATCCTATCTGCAATTTACAGGTGTTGGAAATTGGCTCATAAATAGCACCATTTTTTCTTATTCTCAGTATAAACAGGGCTGTACTGCCTAAAGAAGCCTTTTATATGATTGCAAACCACTGCCATTCTCTTGCCATTTCAAGTACCTTTCAAGATGAGTTTTAGGCCTGAAATTAGCTTGGAGGCCTATTCTAGAAGAGGGAATCCCTGTGAAACACAGCTTTTAAAGCCATCAGTGATGGTATCTTTCTTCTAAGCTGTTTAAATTAAGAATTGGGGACTTTTTTTGACAATAGCTTTATTTGGATGAGAGTAGAAAGAGTAGAAAGTCTGGAGAACTAAGATTTACTCCTTCATATTTATGTTATATGTTTGTTCAACAATAAACCTGATGTGACCTATTGTAGAGTGTTTTACCTTTAATTTTCTATTAACCTAAAATGATTGACTGGATCATTGTAATGGTGTTCAGGATAAGGCTAAAAGAAGCAAATTCATAGATTAGGACTGTTTCCTCCACATGGTTTGTCCAGAAAAGGACAAAATACTTTTTGGTACAAAACAGAAATTTAGCAACTACAGTTCCTCTGAGATCAAGTAATCATGCTGACCAACAACTCCTAGGATGGACTATTACAATGGACTTGACAAAGGAGCAATGAGTTTGGGGGCCCTTGGCATCTGTGCAGGAATAGTTTTGTCATGTTTATCTTCAGATCACCTCATCACTGGATTGCTTTTCTGATTGTAGTCCTAGATAAACTGAAGCATAGAATCAAGATCATGCGAAGTATTAGTACCACTTTATAAAACCCTAGTAAGACCAGATCTGGAATACTACAACCAATTTTGGTCACCATATTATAAAAAAGATGTTGAAACTTTGGAAAAAAATTCAGAGAAGAGCAACTAGGATGATCAAAGGCCTGGAGACTAAAACATGTGAAGAACGGCTGCAGGACTTGGGTTTGGCTGGTCTAAAGAAAAGAACAAATAGGGGTGATATGATAGCAGTATTCCAGTATTTAAGGGACTGCCACAAAGAAGAGGGTCAAATTATTCTCCAAAGCACCAGAGGGCAGGACAAGAAACAATGATTGGAAACTGATCAAAGAGAGAAGCAACCTGGAATTAAGGAGAAACTTCCTAACAGTGAGGACAATTAACCAGTGGAACAAATTGCCTTCAGAAATCGTGGAGATTTTTAAGAAGAGACTAGACAGTCAAGTCTGAAATGGTATAGGTCAGGGGTCGGCAACCTTAAACATTCAAAGAGCCACTTGGACCCGTGAAAAGAAAACACTGGAAGCCACAAAAACATTTTGACATATAAAATGAAGATAACACTGCATATATCGTTTTTTACCTTTATGCTATGTATAAAAAACCTATAGTATGTTGCATTTATGAAATCAATGAACTGTTCGCTCTCTCTCCCCCTCCCTCTCTCCCTCCCTCCCTCTCTCCCTCTCCCTCGCTCCCTCCCCCTCCCACCAATCTCTGCTGCAGTTCACATGCTCTCGCTCCCTCCCTCGCTCCCTCCTACCAGTCTCTGCTGCAGTTCACATGCTCTCTGCCAAATGACACTGCCAAATAAATAGCCCCCGCCACTCCTGCTGTAGCCTGTTCACTTCTCCCTCACGCTCCTCATTGCACCCTTTTGCCAGAATCCCCCACGTAGAGTTGGGTGAGGCTTCTCAAAGAGAGGGGGCTACCGCGCCTGAGTAACTGATTGGAGCGGTCCAGGTTGGAAGGGTGGCCGGAATTGAGCCCAGAGCACCTTTACCTCGCATCAGCCTTATCGAGTGGGAAGTTGCCTCCGCCGCCACTTCTGGCCGCCTTTCTCGCACTCCAGAGCGTGAATGAGGCAGGCGCCTCATGCTGGTACGATGGTCCTCACCGGCTGTGGGGAGAGCAGCTGGCCTCAGACACTCCCCAGCCTGGCTCCCAGCCTTGCTTTATGTCCGTGTTGGGTTCCCACTGCTGCCCTCCAGCCCCGTCTTCCCTCTGCTCCTTTCCCTGCCTGCCTGCTGCTTCTGGGGGGCTGTGGAAATTGCTACCCCGCTTCAGTCTCTGCCCTGGGGCAGCCCCCTCCCCTCCCTGTCCCCAAGGGGACTAGGGCCCTGGACAGAAACCACCCGTCATGACGGCTTCTCCACTAGTCCACGGCCAAAGCCCAGTCCGGTGGCCGAAAGGAAGCAGGATCTCTGGGCGAAGAGCCGCGGCTCTGGCTCTCTCTCCTCTCCCTCCCCCACTGCCCACCAGCACCGCTTGCCCTGGGCCCGGCTGCACCTCCGGGCGACCCACTGACCTGGCTGACTCCCACTGACCTGGCGCGCCCTTCTTGGCCGGTGGGCCCTTCTTGGCTTTCGTCTGCTCACCCGGGCAGCCCATCAGAGGGCGCCTTCCAGGACAGCGGCGACGGAGAGAGAGAGAAGGTGGGAGGGGAGCTCTCAAGCGGCACAGAGGACAGCTCGCTCAGGCTCATGCCCCGCGACTCCGGCCACTCCAAGGGGGGCAAGGATCCCTGGGCAGCTGGGCTCTCCCATGGGGGCGTCGAGGGAACCCCTCCATCTGGTGATCATGCAAAGCCCTCCAGTAGGCCTTCTGCCACTGGGTTGTGTGCCTTGTGGTGCAAATGCCAGAGCCGCCTTGCCCGCTGGCTGGCAGATCACGAGGCCTCTCAGAGCTCAATGGACTGATGGTCATCTCGGGCAAGGTGGCTCTGGCGTTCACACAAGGCGCGCAACCCAGCGGCAGAAAGCAGGCTGCAGCCAAGGCTGCGGGGAGCAATCCGGCGCCCTGGCGGGCTTGAGCCCGGGCAAGCAGACGAAAGCAAAGAAGAAGGGCCTGCAGGCCAAGAAGCGTATGCCAGGTCAGTGGGAGTCGGCCAGGGCAGTGGGCCGCCCAGAGGTGCAGCCGGGCCCAGGGCAAGCGGTGCTGGTGGGCAGTGGGGGAAGGAGAGGAGAGAGAGCCAGAGCCGTGGCTCTTCGCCCAGAGATGCTGCTTCCTTTTGGCTGCCGGACTGGGCTTTGGCCGCAGACTAGCAGAGAAGCTGTCATGAAGCGGGTGGTTTCTGTCCAGGGCCCCAGTTCCCTTGGGCACCGCCTGCCACAGCCAGGAATCTTCGAGGACAGGGAGGGGAGGGGCCGCCCTGAGGCAGAGACCAAAGCGGGGTAGCAATTTCCACAGCCCCCCAGAAGCAGCAGGAAGGCAGGCAAAGGAGTAGAGGCAAGGTGGGGCTGGAGGGCAGCAGTGAGAGCTCAACACAGAAGGCATCAGACATAAAGCAAGGCTGGGAGCCAGTCTGGGGAGCCTCTGAGGCCGGCTGCTCTCCCCACAGCCGGTGAGGACCATCGTGCCAGCACGAGGCACCCGCCTCATTCATGCCCTGGAGCACGAGGAAGGTGGCCAGAAGCAGAGGTGGAGGCACCTTCCCACTCGATAAGGCTGATGCAAGGTAAAGGCATTCTGGGCTCAATTCCGGCCACCCCCTTCCCACCCGGACCGCTCTTTCAATCAGTTATTCGGATGCGGTAGTCCCCTCCTTTTCAAGAAGACTCATCCAACTCTACACGGGGGAGTGCGGAAGACGAGGAGAAGAAGAGTGTGAGGCCAAGTGAGAATATCGGCGATGGTGGCATGGTGGCTGGGTAGGGGGGATCATGGCAGTGGCATTGGCAGCTCCCCACACTCAGCCTGTTTCCTCAGCCAGCTCCATATGATTATTGGCAGATGCTCCCCGCACACCCCATCTGACCCATGCACCTTCTTTCCAGCAGTCCTCCGTCTCTTCCTCCACTACCCACCACGTGCAATCCCAAAAAGAAAAGAAGCTTGTAGGAAGTCCTACAAACAAAAGAAGTTCAATCAATCAATTCCAACTTCACGAGATCTTTTTTTTTGTGAGAAGTTGGAATTGATTGGCTGAACTCCCACTTTTTTTGGGGGGACTGCAAATGGCGGAGGATGACTGGGAGCCACAGCAGAAGGCTGAAAGAGCTGCATGCACCTCCAGAGCTGCAGGTTGCCAACCCATGGCATAGGTTCTTCTGCTTGAGCAGGGGGCTGGACTAAAAGACCTCCATGGTCCCTTCCAGCTCTATTTTATTCTATTCTAAAAATATTTTGAAGGGTATACCCATTGCATGCAACTATTCTTCTGCACCACTCCCACTTATGAAATACTTACCCAGGAAAGCTTTTTCCACGTGTGCTTTGTTGGGTTGGTCTGTGTTCTGTTCCAAACAAGAGATTTGCTTTATTCCTGCTTGACACAGACAGATTAACTCCAAAGACAGATTAATATTCAGATTATTTATTCTTCAGGAATCTCTAAACAATAACTCGCAGTTAATGGAGAGTTCTTCTAAGTCACGTTTCACAATCTGTCTGTTCTTGTGGTGTAAAATATTAAAGGTAAATTCACCCCATGTTCATATGGAGCAAAGCAAAGCACGTCATGGCTGTACTACACAAACTCTTCATACTGGTCCGTAGCCAGGAAATCCTGTCATAAACATTGAAGTCCCTCCCAATGGCTAATTAAGACATAGAACTGACCAATTAGAACACAGATATAACCATGCAACAACTAAACTACATTTCCCAGAAGTCATCTCTTAAGGAGACAGCATTTAACCCCTTAAATGCTACTTATATATGCTCTGGCCAGATGGTTACATACTGGTCCAGCACACTCCCCGCTTGGAAATACACAATTTCCACTATTAACTAACTAGAATAAGCACACAAAAAATTAGCATCAAGCAATGCAATTTTCACTATTAACTGACTATTAACTAGAATAGGCAAAAACATGGCATCAAACAATGCAATTATGAGATAAATATAAAACATGCATAACTATAACTGAGATAAACAAAGGCATTGCATCAAACAATGCAATCATGAGGTAAATACAAAACATGCATAACTATAACTGAGATAAACAAAGGCATAACATCAAACAATGCAATTATGAGGTAGACACAATATGCATAGTTCAAGGATCAATCTTCAAGTTCGGTCTTCCTCAGCAGCAGTACCAAGTCGATGATCGGTCTGGTGTAAAGCCTCTTCATGAGAGTCTTTGAGTCACTATCTGACTCATATGGCTTCACGATCTGGACTTCAACTTAGTGAACTAGTCCATCAGAACTGGGTAGAACTTGGTGCACAAGTCCCATGGGCCAAGAGTTCCAATGTGCATCCTCGTCTCTCAGCAAGACAAGGTCTCCTTCTTCTAGGTTAGGCTCTTTGGTCTTCCATTTGTGGCAATCCTGAAGGGTAGACAAGTATTCTTGCTTCCAGCGCTTTCAGAAGGTGTTGGCCAGCAGTTGAACTTGTCTCCATTGCTGTTTATACATTTCTTTGGGAACAAAGTTCCCTAATGGTGCT